CGGGCCGCGCTCGTGGGGCCGGGCCGCGCTCGTGGGGCCGGGCAGCGCTCGTGGGGCCGTGCTCGTGGGGCCGCGCTCGTGGGGCCGCGCTCGTGGGGCCGGGCCGCGCTCGTGGGGCCGGGCCACGCTCGTGGGGCCGGGCAGCGCTCGTGGGGCCGGGCCGCGCTCGTGGGGCCGGGCCGCGCTCGTGGGGCCGGGCCGCGCTCGTGGGGCCGGGCCGTGCTCGTGGGGCCGGGCCGCGCTCGTGGGGCCGTGCTCGTGGGGCCGTGCTCGTGGGGCCGTGCTCGTGGGGCCGCGCTCGTGGGGCCGCGCTCGTGGGGCCGCGCTCGGGGAGCCCCGGGCCGCGGGGAGCGCCGCGCTCCCGGCGTGGGAGGCTCTGCCGGCGGCTCCCGGCTCGTGTTGTGACTGGAGCCGGTGTCTGGCGGGGGAACAGCTCCTGCCTGCGCCGGGGAGGAGGAGGAGGAGGCGATCAGGCGGGCCGGGATGGAGGGACAGCCTGCGGAGGGGAGGAGGGCTGGTGCCAGGAGCCGGCTCTGCCCCCGTGCATCACTTGAGGGACCAATGTGCGGTGTTTTCCCGAGGAGCAGCGCTGCCTGCTAATGAAATCCCCAGCGATTCTTGGGCGAGTGTTTAGAGTCTGTGATAAATCTGGTGGCTTTGTAACTTGCCGGAGGGATGGTGGGCAGCACCGTGATTAAAGCGCTCTGATTAACACACAAACCTTGTTTGTAATGAGTGGGATTGGGAGGGTGTGGAAATCCAGCTGGCGCGTAATGAGGTTACTCCAACAAATTACTCGGATATCAATTACTCCGCTAGGTAAATGTCACCTGCCTTCTCTTTGTTTGCCGTAAACTGGGATCCAATTCGTTTGATGTGGTTCTTGCTCGTGCCTGAGCTGCCGAGGCAGGGCAGAACGGCAGCCGGGCTCTGCCCCACCCGCGGGGCACCAGCGGGGCCGGGGACATCCCAGTCCCTTGGGAACAACAACTCTGAGCCGAGTCCCCCTGCACAGGCTGAGGACGAAGCCCCCCGGTCAGGCAGGTCCCCGAGGCCGCCCCGAGCCTCGTCACGCCTCCGACTGCAGGTGGATAAATTCCACTTTGCTGGAAATGGGCTCCTTTCCCCGTCCTCCCGCCCGCCCGGGCTCTGCCAAACTGCGCCCGGAGCGAGGGGGCGGGAGGGGCTCCCCAGAGCGGCTGGAAAGGGGAGCAGAGCCGCAGCCGGGGGTGCAGCCCCTGCCCCGGCCCTTGGGACGGGCCCTGGTGTCGGGAGTGCGAGGCGGACGGGGCTGGGGGGTCCCGGGCAGCCCGGGATCGCCGCCATCCACCGGCCCGGGGCTCCGCTCCCAGCCCTGGGCGCTTCCACGGAGCTCATGAATAGTAATGGCCCATCCCAAATCCAACGTCGGTGCCTGAAATCGCCCGGTCCCCGGGCACGGGGAGGTTTTGGGGAGCTGCAGAGGTGTGAGCAGGGAGTGGGCACCGTCACTGTAGGCACCTGGGGTGCTGCTCCGCTTTCCAGAAGGAAGAAATCGGCGCCGCCGTGTCCCTGGGGGGTTTCCCCGCCCCATGGGGTGTTGGGGGGCAGACTCCAGGGGTGTGGGGTGCTCGGGATGCTGTCATTCCCGGCTCCCACGAGCACCGGCTCAGCGGCACGCGGGAGCCCCGCAGCCCTGCTCGCCCCTCCCGGGCAGGAGGGATTTGTAGGCTGCCCCAGAGCTCTGCATCCCTCCTGCCCTCGCTGCCAGCCGGCCCGGGGGTGGCCGCTGGTGCGGGGCTGCCCTGTGGCACCTCGCACCAGACCTCGGCAGGATGAGCCGTGCTCCAACGTGCCGCCGGCCATCGCTGACCTAATTTCCAGCAGCGCTGTGGGGTTTGGCATCTGTTGCTGACACGGAGGGAAGTGGGGGCCTGGGGACCCCCCAAATGTGCTGCCCCGGTACCCCCAGTCCTGGAGAGCGCCGGGGGCACTGGGGGTGCCGGGGCAGCACAGGGTGGGCCCTGACCCCGCTGCACCACCCACTCCTCCCCGTGTGCCCCCTCCTGTGCTCACTCTGCTCCACAAATGCTAATTAATCACCATAATTAGTTTGATGCTGCATCTATTTTTAATCAGCTTTGGAAGACAGAGTCTGCCTCTGCTCTGTGCACCCCCATGGGCTGTCCCAGGGCAGAGAACAGCTTACTGGGGGACCCTCCGGTGGGAGATGGGGTGATATTCCCCTCTGTGCCCCCGGGACGGGGTCAGGATCCCTGATGGGCCCCCCAGCCAGAGGAGGATCTGCCCAGAGCTCCTTGGTGGAGTCTGAGATCCCGGCCCCTCCATAATCCGTCGGGGTGAATAGGAAGGATGGAGGAAGCAGCTGCCAAGGTGACGTTTGACAGCAGCTGGGAAAATCGCAGGAGGAGGAGCCCGGGAAAAGGCTGTGAAAAGATTCTGAGAAGGCAAAAACGGGGGGCAGGTCTGTGTTCAGCAGCTGCCAGCCCCCCGTGGGGGAGGGATGGGGTCTCCTGCTGCCGGGAGCTGCCCGGAGTCAGCCTGGCTGGGGAAGCTGGACCGTGGAGAGGCTGCGGGCTGTGAAAAGCAACGTTTGCTCTGGAATTGCTGGTTCCGTGCGGCCCCGGCCGGTTCTGGTTGTGTTCTCCGGAGGGAGGGAGGGCTCGAGGAAGCCCCTCCCCGGCTGCGCTGGCCAGGATGGCCGGGCAGTGCCACAGGGTGTAGGAACCGATGCTCTGCCAGCAAAGGCTCCCGAGTGGCATTTGAGGGCCGCTGTCACAGCCAGTGACTCACGCCTGTGACCGGAACGGTCTGTCGGCCT